AGTATTTACAACCTAAGCTATTAAAGTCTTAATGTCTCTGGTCTTCCAATCTCAGATATTGTTATTTCACAAAGATTAACAGGGGTAATAAACTGATGTCCTTTAATACTTATTGCAAAATGACCTATTTCATGAAAAGATGGTCTCCAAATGTGTATATACATTTTAAAGATCATAAAATTGAATATTTAATGAAAGGAATTTTTGACCATCCACCTAAATGAATCCTTTTATAAAGCAAACATTTCTATGTAAAACAAACATATTTTATTTTCTACCTTGTAAGTCTAATTCATTATTACAAAGATAATAAAATAGAATAACTTTCCTCTAACACTAATTAAATATAATGAGGTTTCTCATATCCTGATTGTGATGGTGAATTTTATGTGTCAACTTGACTGGGCCATGGAGTGCCCAGACATTTGGTCAGATATTAGTCTAGGTGTGTCTGTGAGGGTTTGCCCAGATGAGATTATTATTGGAATCAGTAGATTGAGTAAATCAGATACCTCTTCTCCCCCAGATAAATGGGCTCCACCCTGTCAGTTTAAGGCCTGAACAAAAAGGTTGACCCTCCCATGAGTAAGAGAGAATTCCTCTTGCCCAACAGCCATCTAGCTGGGACACTGGGTTTTTTTGCAGCCTTGGACTTGAGCTAAAGCATCAGCTCTTCCTGGGTCTCAAGCCTACCAGCCTTCAGATTGGAAGGACACCGCCACTTCCTCCAGTTAACAAGCCTCCAGACTCAGACTGAAACTAAGCTTGTTGACTACAGATCTTGGGACTTGTCAGCCTCCATAATATGTGACCAATTCTTCGTTATCTATCTATATATCTATTGGTTCTGTTTCTCTGGAGAACTCTGACTAATACACAGGCTAATAACCTATACTGATATTAATAATATTAATAATAATACAACTCGTGAATACAGCGAATTCTGCTCAAACATAATCTTACATAAATTCTCAAGTCCCTATAATTTTAAGTTAGTCTAATTGCAAAGTTCATCAGTTTTAGTATCTACAACTACATTAGAACCTTATTTTCCTTGTATAAATTTGAATAATATATTGAAAACTATGTAGAGGTGATTTCAGGCATTCTTGATATGCAGTGTGTCAAAAATGGAGGATAGGAGAAAGGGTGACCCATCATTTGAATAGGCCATGAATACTCTGTTGCAAGAGCTGACAATAACTCTTTACAAAGAAAAAATATCAATTCACTGTGAATAATATGTCAAAGACTAATATTTTATATTACATACTTGTAAGTATAAGGAAAATGATAACATGCACAGAAACATTGTTTATGAAGTAGGAAAAAATGTATAGCTCTTTCCAATTCTCTTCTAACAAATATAGTGTGTGGCAGATATCTACTTTATAAAAATATATCTTAAAAGCAATAATACCATGATGAAACTTTGCTGAACAGTACAGCCATAGGTGTCTATTTTTACTAAATACTAGAGAAATAGTAAAGTTTTTTTAAGCTTACCAAATTCAAATTGTACTATTCTTAAGTAAAACCTGTATATATAAGGTTCAAACATTTATTTATAAACTCCACAAAGTTCTTTTTAGTTAAAATGTATAAATATTACATATACTCACACACACACACACACACACACACACACACACACACACACACACATACACACACACTTTACTGCCCCAGTAAAATATGCATCGTATTATCATTGCCTTAACTGTTGAAATTATTGCAGATATACTCATCATAATTCATAATGGAAAGTTGTCTTGCTATTTAAGGTGATCACTTAGACCCTGAAGTAACTGCCTAATAATAATGATGACAATCATGATAGTGATGATGCTAATAAATGCTCACATTTAGATAGTGTTTACTATATGTTGTACTCTGTTCTCAGAGTTTTACATAAATTAACTTAGTCCTCACAAAATCCCAATAAGACGGGTATTATTATTATTCCCATTTTACAAATGAGCAAACTGAAACACAGAGAGGCCATATTCTCTAAGTATATAAGATACCTTTTAAAAAATTGTTTTGCCTTAATTTGTAATATTAAAAACTAGATACTCCTTAAATATAATATAAACACTCTTATTACAAAAAAGTATCTACATACTTAGAAATGAAGATTATACAACAACATGGAAAATGTCTATGATATAATATTAAGTGAAAGAATTCAGAATATAAAATTGCATTCTCACACTGATTACAACTGTATAAAAGTCAGTCATGCACACAGTCAAGGGCTAGGAAATGTACAACACAGTGCAGGACCTGCTGCTCCTCTAGGAACTCCTTCTGTCTCTCTTTGCCCTCAATGACCAGCTGGGCCGTGCTCATTACATAGTCCCATGATTCATACTGAACCCCTGCAATCTGGCTTTTTCCAACTACAATCTTGGCCTGGAGTCCTGAAGGTCCCTAATTCACCACCACAGTCACTAAGTCCAAAGGCTCTTTTCTTCAACATCCTCCACCTTTTCACAGCACATATATTCTTTTTTTTTTTTTTTTTTGCGGTACGGTGACGAACCCGCGTCCCCTGCATCGGCAGGCAGACTCTCAACCACTGCGCCACCAGAGAAGCCCAGAACACATATTCTTTACCAGTAATTTTATTTTCCAAAGTATCTTCAGAAGTGTCAGTTGGATGGATGATGCCTCTTTTACTGGCTCCTCCCCTGCTACCTAACACATTTCCTGTGCCGCTGTCCTCTGCACCCTGGCAACTGAATCTGCTCCAGTAACCGCAATATTTACCTCCATGTAGGTAGTCCTCAAATATAAAGCAAGCCCTAAGCTCCACACCTAAGTTCGGCTGCCTGCCAGCATCTCCCACTGGCATTAACTCTTGTCATGGATGAAACTCCTCATCCTGCCCATGATCAAACTGGATTTCCAGCCTCCTATTTCTCTCCAGGGCCCCCTATTTTGCTCTAGATCTCCATACATGAAACCTCAATGTCACATCGGTCAAAGCTCTGTAAAATACAGCTCCCAACTCCCTTCTTACCCCATCTTCAGCATCTCCTCTAGGTTCTAAAAGAATAGGAACCTATGCTTGTTCCCAAGCACACCCTATGCTCATTCTCCATGTCCAGAACCCTACTCGAGTTTCAATTCATCCATGAAGTCTTTTTTGGTGACTTTCACTCAGATGTGTTTTCTCCACCTTTAAAATTTCATAATACTTTTATTTCAGTTTTCATATGGCAGTTATCATGTTTAACATCCTTATGTTATAGCTATTTGGTTGAACTACATGAAATTGCTGATAGTTTTAACCTATATGGTTCAACCTAATATTTCTGTTGATTTTAGAGGCCCTAAGTAAACAGCAGTCTCTACAAGAGTAGGGATGAGTTTTGCCTTTCTTTGGGATCCCCTGAGAAGCCCAGAACATTGGAAGTGTTTGTCAAAATAAAGAATCTTAATCAATCTATCTATATATCTACACTTATATCTATAACTTATCCATATCTATCTACCTATCTATCTATAAAAATCAATTGTCTGTAGCAATTAGTGTAACCTATCAGCTCCAGTGGTAGAGGTGAGAAGCCTTAGAACCTGAAACTTCAAAACTTCTGGCAACATAAAATACTTTGGTTCAAGAAGCTATTTTAAAATAATTTATGAAGGAAACATTCTTGGATTTAGAGTTTGGCAGGTACAGTAAAAAAGCTTTCAGTTGACTGAAATAAAAAAAAAATCAAAACCCTTTTTAGCACGGGCACTTCCCTTATAAAAACAAATTGCCTAAAAGCAAAGCACAGCAGTTTGTGCACAGTGAGCACGTGCCTCCTGCCGTCACAGGAGGGGTGCTGGAGAAGGAGGGAATGATTTGCATTTCTATAGCTTCTTTTGTATGCCCAGATTCGAAAGCATTTCACAAAGCAGTAAACATCATCACCAAGAAGAGACAGTGACAGGATGTCCCTAAAGTAGGGACTCTGAGTAGAGACACAGCAGCGCCCACACAGCTGTAAACAGAAGCGCAATTCATCTGTGCTGGCTAAGAAAGGGGGAAAATGTGTCTGCAGGGTTCTTCAGCATCACCTGAACCATCCACAGAAAGCCACTCGTTTCTTATACTTTCTCAAAGAATGACTTCAATCCATATATATTGAGTCCTATTTGCTGGCGTCCTCAACAAATTACAGGTCTCCATTTCTAGGTGATGGCACTGCTCATCAATCGCCTACCCAATTCTCCCCTTCTCCTACAGAAATCACTGTTGTGAATGAAACACCCAGATGAAAAGGATATAGCCCTTTGATGGTATCTGGAGCCGTGCGGTGCCCTGAAACCATTAGGGACAGGAGAGAAAACACACACTGTGCTCTCTCTAACGTTTCAGCGGCCCATTCTAGGGAAAATGTTACTAAAGCTTGGAGAAATTGAAAACAAAGGTGGACTTTTGCTGTGCGTCAGCCTTCCTTCACCACAGCTTGGGCACTGCGATTCTGACGGGAAAGGGAGCTCTCAATCCTGCTGTGAACGGCCCTGAGCCCTGCACCTCCCCAACTGAGCCCCGGCAGCAGACCTAGGACCATCCTCCAGGGGTCACAATTGGGTTACACATTCCTCACAGCACAGTGACTGAGCAACCTGATTTGGAACAATTTATTTGAATCCTTCTTCATTAAGATTCAAATGGAATAAGTAAGGTAGAAATTGAACAGACAGAGAAATTGTGCCTTGCTTCTCCTGTAGTCAGTAAACATTTATTCACTAAGCCCAGTTTGTGTGCTCTCTCTCTTTTCCCTCTCTCGCTCACAGTTATTCTTCCAATCCTTCGGGCTTGCTGTTTTAATGCATAATTAAGAAGGTCAGAATTAATGAAGCGGTATGGAGTAAAGTTCAAGGAATCCCCAGGCACTATTTATTCTATTAGATCTCAGGCATGAATGTCAGCTTGGCAGCAGAAGCAGCATAAGCAATGGGGTTGGCTGCATCCCAGGAACGATCCACTAAGGGAGACTCACCCACACTGTCAAGTCATTCCTCAGCTCCTTCCCTGCGAAAATCACACGCAACTGGTCAGCTGGAACCCCCTGTCGCTTAGCAACCACCTCCTTGAGCTGGAAGATGCTGGTGTCAGAATCGACCTCCACTGGGAAACCATGGCTGGAGTTGAACCTGACAAACACTGACCAAGAAAATTGGAGGCGAAGAAAAAAAAAGTAAGCATTACTCAAAGCCCTTAAATGGCAATAACAACATTTCTAAACTGATTTACCCATCACCCACCCTTTGATGAACAGCATACATTTTCTTTCACTTAGAACATAAAACTTAATGCTATGGAGTAACATTTGGAGAAAAATGGAATTTCCCTGTGGGACTTCCCTTTCATATATTAGTCAGTGACCCGCAAACAAAATTGCATGCTCCCTTTGACATCCATCCTAGGAAACAGAGGGACTCGAGCAGAACACTTGCTTGATTGGAATTGTAAGATTCCCATGAGTTTATCGAAGAGATTCAGCTCTGACAGCCTGTACAAACTCACACTGCCTCTACAGTGCCCCTCTTAATAAAAAATCAAATGCATTGTGTTAGCACCCATGGTACAGCAATGGAACAAAACCAAGCCACTTCGCAGTGGTTGAGAGTCCGCCTGCCGATGCAGGGGACACGGGCTCGTGCGCCGGTCTGGGAGGATCCCGCATGCCACGGAGCGGCTGGGCCCGTGAGCCATGGCCGCTGAGCCTGTGCGTCCGGAGCCTGTGCTCTGCAACGGGAGAGGCCACAAGAGTGAGAGGCCCGCGTACCACACACACACACACACACACAAAAAGCCACTTTATAGATCAGAGGGAAGGCCCAGCAGAGCCCTAGGCACTGGTGGTCCCAGCCAAAAGGCTTCACTGGGTCTTATGGAAGTATATATTTGCCCTTTCTTTTGAAACTAGTGATATACCCTTTCTTTTTTTGGAACCACCATTCCCCTCAAGGACCAGGCTTGAACCTCACAGTCTTCTTACATGCTTTCTTCTCACTGCCAACTGCCCCGCCACCTCAATGACTCTCGCATCTGCCCTTTCCTTCCACTCCTTCTGTCACTACGCTCATTCAATCACGTCTAGATTCCTGCAACAGCCTCCCAGCTGGAGTCTTAATATACCCTCTTCACTTCCGAAATGTCCTACACTGTTCTGCAAAGTAAACCGTATTAATCTAGAGCCCTCGCTGTGTCGTAGCCCTCAAATCCTTTAAAGGCACAAATCTTTCAAACTAAATGCTCCCAAAAAACATATAACAGAAAGTGCCTGCCCCCAGCCCTTGCCTCTGTTCACGTCACTCCCTTCCTCACCTCTGCCTTTTGAAAGCCTGTTCACCTCCACGATCCATCTCCAATGTGACCTCCTCCAAGAGGCCTCTCGCTATCAGTCCCCTCAAGACTGAGCTCACCTCTTCAGGGCTCCAGTGGCTTTTACTGTGTACGTCTTACAAGACTTGCCACATTCTCTCATGGAAGCAGTACAGCAGAGGTGACAAATACATCCTCCAAAGTGAGAGGACCTATTCACCAATTCCTGTAGGTCCCTTATCAGCTCAGGAGACTGGGGTAAACACATTAACCTTCACTCTTTAACTCTCAGTTCCCTAATCTTCAAAATATAAATAAACCACAGAGGGTGTTCTATGATACATGAAGTAATATTTATAGTGTTTATAACTATCACATAATTACTTTCAAAAATAACCAATATTTGTATATGTCTTTGGTATATATTTTACCTCTTTAAAAGATTATACACTCCTCAAGGTCAGGCACTATAGCTTATTTTCTGCTGTATCTCCTTTATTTAATTTTTTTAATAAATAAATTAATTAATTTTTTATTTTTGGCTGCGTTGCTTCTTCATTGCTGCACGCAGCCTTTCTCTAGTTGCAGCGAGCTGGGACTACTCTTCAATGTGGTGCGCGAGCTTCTGATTGCGGTGGCTTTTCTTGTTGCAGAGCACGGGCTCTAGGCACATAGGCTTCAGTAGTTGTGGAACACGGGCTTAGTTGCTCCGCGACATGTGGGATCTTCCCGGACCAGGGCTCGAACCCGTGTCTTCTGCATTGGCAGGTGGATTCTTAACCACTGTGACACCAGGGAAGTCCCCGTATCTCCTTTAAATGTAGCATTATCACTTACTAGTTCTAAATTCAAATGTGAGATGGCCCACCAAATAATAATTATAATAAAATAATAATTACAATGCCAATAATATTCAAGCAGTTACTATGTGGTAGAAGTTGCACATTACATATGCTATTTTAAGCTTCCTGATGATCTGGTAAGGTCAGTATTATTATCCTTATTTAATAGAAAGTAAATGAAGGCCTTGAGAATTGTAATCACTTTTTTAAGGACATCAGCTACTTTGTAATGGAATCACAATTTAAACTCAGTTCAATCTACCTCTAAATCCCATTGCATTTACTATAACATGTTACCTAAAATCGTCTCAGAAGAAAAGTTCACATTCCTTTTCCTTATGATAAAAAAATTACAAAACACAACAGCAAAAAAGTCTTTATAACATAATTCAAATAGCCTCTATACAGGTTAGCAGTAGAACATGAGATTAAAAAAATAAAATCTCCAGTGAAAAGCTAAGAACAAACCACAATGGACAATATTTACAAGACACAATGAGATAAAAATGACACCAAACTGAGAGTAGATGCCAGAGATGACACCACAGGAGCAAAAACCTGACATATTTTACCAGCACAGAAAATATTTAGAAAGAGTAAGAACTGGAAGTGACAAAAGTGTTCCAAATAAAGAAAACTGATTGAAAAAAAAAGAAAAGAACAATTACAGAGGAAAAGGTGCTTTTGATGTACTTTTAAGTAGATGCCATGTGACACTGTTGAAAGTAGAGGAGGAGAAATAAAAATGTATTGGAATCCCTTGAGGTATACTCCTGGCATCCTCTGATCAGAGACCATAAGACAAGCAATTCACCAGATAAGACATGGCGACAAGTGAGTGGCTATAAGCAACAAAAGGTATGGTCCCAGTTGCAAACTGGATTTTCTAGTAGTGTGAATAGACTTTTTTTAAAAAAGTAAAACACCACTGGGGAAGAAGCAGTTGAAAACTATACAAAGGCTACTAAAAAAAGGAATAAATATTCCAGGAGATCTGAAGTTGCTGATCTTCTCCAGGGGTTCAAATCATGGGAATTCCACCTTAAGGACAAGAATTATAAAGAAAACTAAAAGAAAAAAAATCTGCAAAAAACATACTAGATAACTCTGTACCACTAATGAAATCATTATTATCTAAAAGCCTTTTTTGGTGGGAATGTGAATTTGTATAGCCACTATGGAGAACAGTATGGAGGTTCCTTAAAAAACTACAAATAGAACTACCACATGACCCAGCAATCCCACTCCTGGGCATATACCCTGAGAAAACCATAATTCAAAAAGATTCATGTACCAAAATGTTCATTGCAGCTCTATTTACAATAGCCAGGACATGGAAGCAACCTAAGTGTCCATCATCAGATGAATGGATAAAGAAGATGTGGCACATATATACAATGGAATATTACTCAGCCATAAAAAGAAACGAAATTGAGTTATTTGTAGTCAGATGGATGGACCTAGAGTCTGTCATACAGAGTGAAGTCAGAAAGAGAAAGACAAATAACATATGCTAACACATATATATGGAATCTAAGAAAAAAAAAATGTCATGAAGAACCTAGGGGTAAGACGAGAATAAAGACACAGACCTACTAGAGAATGGACTTGAGGATATGGGGAGGGGGAAGGGTAAGCTGTGACAAAGTGAGAGAGTGGCATGGACATATATACACTACCAAACATAAAATAGATAGCTAGTGGGAAGCAGCCGCATAGCACAGGGAGATCAGCTGGGTGCTTTGTGACCACCTAGAGGGGTGGGATAGGGAGGGGGGAGGGAGGGAGATGCAAGAGGGAAGAGATATGGGAACATAAGTATATGTATAACTGATTCACTTTGTTATAAAGCAGAAACTAACACACCATTGTAAAGCAATTGTACTCCAATAAAGATGTAAAAAAATAATAATAATAAAAGCCTTTTTTTCCTTATAAATAGAAAAAAGTTTGTGAGCTTAAGTTAAATTTGGATAAACTGTACCAATTCTTTATAAATGAATATTTTCGAGCAGCAAATCAGAAATGTAGTATGAATTTTCTGATGGAAAGACTGATCAAATACATAGCAGATATTTGGCCAACTAAAATATTGGTATGGATAAGAACAAACATGTTAAAGTGACCTGATAAATAGCCAAATGCCATTATATGGAAAACAGCTAGCGTTTAATGGCAGTACCATAATTTGCAGTGGGTCTCCATCTTTTTCTGACCCATGTGAGAAATGTGTATGTTCCGTCTGTTCTAGTCCTGTCATTTCAGCCATGATTCCTAAAAGAGAGAAAGGAGGAGAGAAGCACCCAACCCTCCTCCTCTACTACCTCTTTAAGAGTCATAGAAAGCAGAATGCCCTTAGAGCCAGGACAAAAGAAATTGGAATCCTGATTGTGCCCGTTGCTAATTTTATGACTTAGGACAAATTATCTGTTCACCTGGATTCTTATCTTCCTTATCTGCTAAAATGTAGATAATGTATACAACATCAAGTGCCAGTTACAAAAGATTTGTTGAGATTATGGATGTATTAGGTAATTTTGGAAAGAGTCCTTAGTATATTACCTTGTACTCTTGGTACAAGAGTACACCTAGTGGAGGTAGGTGTCACCTAGTGGAGGTAGCACTCATTAAAGCAGCTTCCACTGTTTGTATTATAACTAAGGTAGATTAAATAGGAGGTGAGAAGAGCTAAATTAAGTAGCCTATTTTTTTTATTTCTGCTCCTCTTCATGATACAGACAACTTCCATGAACAGAGACATGATAAAGAATTTAGCTTATCTCCATGTTCTGAGATTTAATTATAAATTAAAAGTTTGGGAATGCTTGTTCTGATGACACCTATTATAGCACCAGAAATAAATACCATATCACTAAACATTATCCATTATGTGTATTATCAATAAGCACCATAATACAATGATAAGGAAAAGATGATGAGTCACATTCACACTTACTTTTTTTTTTTTTTTTTTTGCGGGGAACGCGGGCCTCTCACCGCTGCGGCCTCTCCCATTGCGGAGCACAGGCCCCGGACACGCATGGCTCAGCGGCCATGGTTCACGGGCCCAGCCACTCCGCAGCACATGGGATCCTCCCGGACCGGGGCACGAACCAGTGCCCCCTGCATCAGCAGGCGGACTCCCGACCACTGCGCCACCAGGGAAGCCCCACACTTACTTTTTATGTTATCCTTGACCAGGGTTCAGAAGATCCAGAGGATAAGAAAGTAACTGGGAGGAAGGAGGGGGAAGGAGTCATAGGTTGATGGGCACTTATATTTTTCTCAGGCCTATTCTACTTGTCCTGTCTGAGTGGGGCCTAATTTTTTAGTTATAACTATAATAGTTTCATCAATGATTATGGTCCTTGTAGGATTCTGACTGCCTTGAAAGCAGCCATTCTACTCCTCCTACACTGAGACTAGTCACAGGATTGAGGTGGGGTGATTCACCCTTCCCCCCAACTCCAGGTGTGAGCTCTCATTAATTAGCACAACCTCATCCTCTTTGTCACAGTGACTGGCTCAAAGATGGACATAAACCAGTCAGTGCCTGGTGTTCCCCAGGTCATAGTGATTGACTCCCTAGAACAGAGGTGATCCAAGGTAGGCCAATGCAGAAAAATCCAGAACTTATCAAAGGCTTAGTGAAGTGATTTTAGATGTCATGGAATATCATGTGAGCTTATAGACATTTTCGCTGAGAGAATCAAATAAAAACAGAGCCCAAGACAGACCATTGCCATCAGAGTATAAATGGGCTCATTGCTTTTCGAGCAAGAGAGAGAATGCCCTAAGCTCTGCAGGATGTTTAGCATTCGAGAGAATGCCCTAAGCTCTGCAGGATGTTTAGCTCCAGCTGCAGCCCAGTAAATATCAGGAACGCACTCTAATAACCACGGCAACAAAAAAGTAACCCTACATATCTCTGGTGAGGTAGTTTCTTCTTTACCTTTGAGAAATATCACTCTAGTAGCTTCTACCCCAAACAGACAAACCTTGTCCTCACATTCCCCTCCATTCACTATCCCACTTCTCTGCACAGAATATTCTACTGTGAATTTCTTACAGTTCAGCTTTCCATTTCTTTACTTTCCATTCTTTTATGAACGACTCTTGAAGCCTGCTCTTGGTATGACCTCCACATTTCCAGTCAATGGTTGCTTTTCTATTCTCATATTTGGCCATTCAGGGACATT